AGGTTCAGTTCGTTGATTATGATGGATTAGTCGTTGAAGCGCAAGCTGATCCAAAGCTACAAGTCATTTTTCAAGACCTCCTTTTCGACCCCAGTAGTTGTCCTCACTACCAACTTTGTAAAGGTTGTTTATTGTTTAAGAACAGGTTGGTACTCCCTAAAAACTCAACATTCGTTCCTAAGTTACTAGAATTTCATTGTAGTCCTAGTGGTGGCCACTCTGGCTTCTTTAGGACTTATAAAAGAATAGCTGTTGTTGTGTTTTGGGAGGGTATTAGACAAGATGTGCAGAAATTTGTTCAAGCATGTGCCACTTGCCAAGTCAACAAGCACTCTTCCCTCAGACCTGCAGGGATGTTACAGCCCCTTCATATCCCAACCCAAGTGTTTGATTATCTTTCAATGGACTTCATAGGTGGGTTACCTAGGGCCAAAGGTTATGATACTATTTTGGTGGTGGTCGATCGATTTATAAAATATTCTCACTTCGTCTTGTTAGCCCATCCTTACACCGCCAAAGATGTCACTAATGTGTTTCTGCGTGAGGTGGTTAAACTTCGTAGCTTCCCACAATCTATTGTCTCTGATCGCGATAAGGTATTCATGAGCCAATTTTGGCAAGAATTGTTTAAATCAGGAGGAACATCCCTTAAATTTAGCTCCGTCTATCATCCCTAAATAGATGGGCAAACGGAGGTTGTTAACCGGTGCTTAGAGGCATACCTCTGCTGTTTTTGCAGCTCCCAACCCCAGCAGTGGCCCAAATGGTTAGTGTGGGTTGAGTTTTGGTACAACACTACGTACCACAGCTCCACCAAAATGACCCCCTTCAAGGCTCTATATGGCAGGGATCCTCCAATTCTTTTAAAGCTCACTGACTGTCCCTCCTTAGTGGAAGATGTCAACCGACAGATTAGGGACATAAATGCCATATTGGAAGAGCTCAAGCACAATTTGGCCGTAGCTCAAGATTAGATGAAGCAGTCTGCGGATTCACATACCGTAGAGATGTCTCTTTTCAACCCGGGAATTTAGTATACTTGAAGCTCCAGTCGTATAGGTTTCGGTCCTTAGCTAAGAAGCTCAATGAGAAGCTAAGCCCTTGCTTTTATGGCCCCTTTAAGGTGTTAGACAAGGTTGGACAAGTGGCTTATCGGTTGGACCTTCCCCCTACTTCTTGTATCCACCTGGTGTTTCATGTTTCCCAACTTAAACGGAGTCTTCATTCTTTAGTACTTGTCCAACAGCTTCCCTCTTTTCTGACTGAAGACTTGGAAATTCAAGTGCACCCCGAAGCTGTCCTCTCCACTCCCCAGCTGCTGGATGGCTCCCTGGAAGTTCTGATTAAATGGTAGGACCTCCCACCCTTTGAAGCCACTTTGAAGGCTTATGAGTTCCCAGGTTTTCACCTTGAGGACAAGGTGGTTCTCGAAGAAAGAGTGAAATCTGGAATTATTGTTGGGGGCCACTAGCCCCTCGAAGTGCTAATCACCCTTTTTATTTTTTCTGTCATTGTTATTCCCTGTATTTAGCTTGTTCGGCCATCATTTTCATTTCAATATATCAGTAAAATTTTCTAGTTACTTGAAGGTTGTGCTGAGTGTTAACAAATAGCATTTTTATTGAGCATTACGGTTGTGTTTTCATCATTCACAATTCCCATGTGGCATCTCAGCCAATGTGGCTTTGGTCCACACCGTGAGGTAGGCTCAACCTTGATACCAATTGTAATGATTTTTTGCTATATAGTATAATATTATCTGCTTTATGCCTAACCCTCATCTCATACTTCTTAGCCTCTAGCTCTCTGCCTTAAAGAGTCTTTAGATCTTGGATGCTACAATCTACTCTCTTTAGGAGTAACTCCTCATGTGCAATAGTTGCCCAACATGTAAGGTAGGTTTAACTCAATACCAATTGTAATGATTCTTTGCCATATAGCACTGATATTACCCGCTTTAGGCCTAGACCTCATGGTTTTGCCTTTGTAATCACCCAAAAAGCCTAATAAAATAGTAGAATAGGTGTACATTTATATAGCCCAATGAGCCTCCTTAACCAGACAATGTAGGATTCTTACAGCTCATCCTTATTGGATCTTAGGTGTCATACTTGCGGTTCTAAAAATATCTCTTACACCCCATATGGTTTATCATTCTTGTGGCTTTAAAAACTTTTGGACAGATATCACAAAACCCTTAGAATCACTTACTGTGGAAGGTGTTGAGATAGTTTTATTACTGCAGGGGATGAATCGATACTATGGAACCTTAGGGGTCCCAAGGATATTTACCCAGAATATAAATATAAAAAATATCAGCAAGTTGAACTCATCAATACTCATCTTGAGGATTGTCCAAGATTTGCAGAAAGCTTGACATGTCAGCCTTATCTGTAATATTTGAAGTACAAAATTTTTGAAGCTTCTCACAAATGCCTATTTGTTAACCACTATTGTTTCAGCCAACTTGAACAAGAAATATTTGCACTGATATTGAATATTCACAGACTGGAAATAAAGCAATAAAGGCTTTGTAAACGGAAAGGAACAACTAGTCACTATTTTGGTAAGCTTAGATCAATAAGATTGTACACTTTGTTTATAGATACACCAAAAGGATGACCAAGATTAATTATGTCTTTAAATTTTTCATTTACAGATTTGTTGATGCTTTGGTTTATAGAGATAAAGACTGAGTGTTCAACATACATTATCCGTTGAATAACAAGTTTTCAAAAGCTTCTACTGTATGTCGAAGAGGGTTATAGTAGTTTACTGTTTTCAAATGTTTAGGAAAGCTAGATTTGAAGTTAAACGTGATTCAAGAGTAGATTTCTTATGTGGTTAACATTTCCCCTGATGATTGTTGAAGTTAAAGTTGAGCATTACTTTTAGGTTATTCTACGGTGGGGACTGCAGCGAGGCACAAGTGTGCTACCATGTAGCCTAAAGCCGGAACGGATAAGGAAAAACATAGATATCTTTAGTTGGTGTCTATCAGAGGAAGAATGGAACTGGTTGAACCAGATTGAGCCTCAGGTATGTTTATTTGGAAATGAACCTTTCAGTAGTCTCTCAGCCACTGGGTTCATGTTTGGTAGTGGTCCTCTTCAAGCTGTGCGTGAGATGGAAGATGATGTGGAATCCAATGCCTGATTTTAATACTTGTTTTTTTTCTAAAAGATAATATATCATTTATTTTCAAATTGTGATAATGCTGATTATTATAATATGTGGTATGGTATGCCCATTGTTTGTAAGATTTTGATTTTGTGGATGCTGAATGGAAAGCCAAATTTTACATTATTAATTAATGAGTAATACTACACTTACAAATAAATTTTACAAAGATCTCCATACAAAATGATGTGGCAAAAAATGAATGGAATAGTGAATTTAATGAGTTTGACTATTTGTTTTACTCTTTCATTCATTTTTTGTCACCTCATTTTGTATGGAAATTTTTGTAAGATTTCTTTGTAAGTATAGTATTATTGTTAATTCACATGGTGGATGTTCCCGTAAACATTTATTATTCTAAATGGAATTTTGATCAATTAACTATTTGTTTGAAAAAGTTTTTAAGTTATTTCAAAATGGTGAGTTGGTAATGGTAATGTATCATCATTTCCTGTAGGAACCTAATCTAAGTTTTACATAAACCAGTTGCTGGTTCTGATAGTGGAACATCCACTATTATCTTCTAATTAGTAGTGGAAATGGAGTCACCATTAAAACGCCCACTAAGACGTATTACTATAATATATTGATTCATAATAAATGTTTAATTAACAGATTTTGAGGAATTTTCTTCACTAGGGTAGGTTAACAGAGAATTAAAAACCATACATCTTGGTACCTATTTACTTGAAGACCAATTAGCATCCAAACTCCCAAGAAAAATGTCAATATCTTGTGTAAAATTCAACCTTGTGTTACATAAGTCTTCCATTTGAATAAAACTTCCTTATTATATAAATATGATGTTATTCTTAATTTCATCTCATGTTATCAATTCAACATTCTACTATATTCCTTTGACATTCGATGTCTGTTATCAATAGTGATTTATTAGGTTCGATGTTATTGCTTCTGATGATTAAAATTGTGTTGAAGTTGTTCTGTTTAATAAGATGAGGGTAGGAAAAGGAAAAATTTCAAAGGACTGGCATCCACTTTGGCTTTTCTGATTTGACCCGCCACTTTTAAAGATTAATTAGAAAAATACAGACAAGTTGGTTTTGATTTTCAAGTCTGTGGTATGATATCATTCTCTGCAGACCAAGAAAAATTTGGTTTATGAATTTTGTGGTCAAATTAGACAAGTGCATCTTATTCATTTAATTTACTATAACTTCCACATGCCACGATACATGAATTTTTGACAGAAGAAACTAATGTGAGACTCATAAACTGAAGTCCAACAATACAAAATCTTCACATGAGCATAGCTGTTTCTTTGGGAATGATGCAAATGAGGTTCCAGATTTTTCAATCTTCTAAATTATGTAAACAAAGATGCTAAAAATTCATCAGGAAATAGAATTCTTAAGGCACCATAGTCACTAAAGTTTTTGGAAATACTTTTGCCTGCAAAAGCATACAGCAATACTTGTTACAGGTTTAGTAGGCACTCCTACTGGTCTCCATTTCTTTTTTTTCTTTTTTTTTTTTTTTTTTGTTACACTACAATATGGAAAAGAAACTCGCAATCTTCAGTTATGAGAAACTTTTCAGAACCAAGAAATTAACTGATTCAACCAGTCACTAACAACTTCTGGGTTCCTTTCCGACCACAGATCTCAAAAGAGCGAAAAATTGGCCAAACCACATTAACTAAAACAAAATCATTTCAATTTCTTATTGAGCTAAAATGACATGCACCAAAATATAGATTGAAAACTTTCAGACATAATTTCAGATATGCTTCTCATTCTTTATATAAACTAAGAACGACCATAATACACAAATATTCAAAATTCTATTTCGTACATGTTTGAGAACCAACACTTTCTGTTGAATGCAAGGACTTACAGTGTCCAGGATCAGTAGTTTAGTTTCCTCTGTCAGATCCCTATCTCTCCTCAAAGTTATCAGAGGCGGCAACTCAGTGAATCCAAGTACGTGGACAAATATTTACAACAGGATCACTGTCTATATTGAAAAAACACCGATAAACAGAGCAGCAAATGGAAGAACTAGAGAACTAGATAATGTTGTCAAGCCAAGAAACTAGTTGCTGAGTGGTAGGCCGCACTTTAGGAGATTCACATAAGCACAAACATGCAATGTCAAGAACCCTCAACAGTTCCTTATCGTGCTGCTTGTCATAAACGAAAGGATCTAACACCTCACTTTCCCTGTTTTCTTCCTTCATCCGTATCACCCAAGAAATCAAATCCCTGCATCCTCGCGGTTTACACATATCCATTGGCCTTTTCCCAGTAAGAAGTTCTAAAAGCACAACCCCAAAGCTGTACACATCACCTTTATAAGTAGCAACAGAGGCTTGGCCATACTCAGGAGGGATATAGCCTAATGTACCAACAAGATCAGTAGTCACATGAGTATCATAGGGGAGTATGAGCCTAGCAAGACCAAAATCAGCTAAGTGGGCTACAAAATTCTCATCCAAAAGAATATTACTGGACTTTATGTCTCGGTGGAGGATATGAGGCTCACATGATTGGTGCAAATAAGCAAGCCCCCGTGCTGCCCCTTGTGCAATTTGAAGCCTCATATCCCAATCAAGTGAGGATGGTCCATCAAGTTTCTCATGTAACCAATAATCCAAGCTCCCATTTTCCATGTACGAATATATCAAGAGCCTGTCATTTCTGTAGATGCAGTATCCTTGAAGATGAACAAGATTTGGATGTTGAGCTCTTGAGAGGGTTTCAACTTCAGCACGGAATTCCCTCTCCATCTGACCACAGTCACCAGAGAGCCGTTTGACAGCAACCTTCCTACCATCAGGGAGAGTGGCTCTGTAAACAAGACCGAAACCCCCGCAGCCTATGATATTTGCTTGATCAAAATTGTTAGTAGATTTCAAAAGATCATTAATGGAGAGCTCTTTATTATTGTCCTTGTTCTGAAACAAAACTAATAACCTTGACCCGAGTTCTTCCAAATCTTTATCACTGGTGTCAGCCTCCTCTATTTCAGGATCGACCTCTCCCCGGCTATGTGCCCGCAACAAAATCATGATCATGAGGACAAGAAGAAAAGCTGTCCCAAATGTGACCCCAACAGCCATTCCTATAATGATATCTTTGCTCCTTTTTGATTTTTTACGAGACCCAACAGGAACTTGATTGATATCTTTATTATTGTTCTCACAAGGGGATCGATGCTCGCCACACAGATTATTCCCTTCAAAGCTTGAATTTGGAAAAGTTGCAAACTGACCTCCAGAAGGGATCTTCCCATAGAGTTGATTAAAGGCAACACTAAACTTGGACAAAAAGCTGAGTTCTACCAAAGAAGATGGTATGGTCCCTGTTAGATTATTATCAGACAAATCTAGACTCTCCAAGCTTGTCATGCCAGATAATTCACTCGGAATTGGTCCAGATATATCATTAGCTTTTAAATTCAAGACATGGAGTTTTGTCAGCTTCCCAAACTCTGGCCAGATCGATCCATTAAGGGCATTATAGCTAAGGTAAAGAGTTGGAGGAAAGCTTAAAATTTGATTATATTGCAAACCTCTGACACTTTCATTTCTTTTCAAGAAAAAAGGTATATCTGGGGAAGGCTCCTCCAATGAAATATTCCTACTGATGAGGCTTGGTAATCCAGTTATGCTTTTCGGAATCTCCCCAATGAAGGTGTTGTTTGATAAGTCCAAGTAAAAGAGATCCTGAAAACTGCCAAACCAGACCGGAATTGTTCCACCGAACTGATTCCAAGATAAATCCAACAACTGCAACTTGGTGCAACCACTCAACCATTGGGGTATCAAACCCCTAAGTCTACAATTCGCAATAACAAGAGCTTTCAAGTTCTGAAAATGAAGGCTTGGATCAGCAGGCAATTCTTCATCCGGAAAGTTGCGGGTGAGAACTAAAGTAGTTAGGTTCCTGCAGTGCTGCAAGATTTTGAGAGCAGATGAAAGATTAAAGATGCCGGCATTTGTGAGGGACAGATACGAGAGGCTTTGAAAATTCTCAAAGCTTTTCGGAATTTGACCACTGAAATTGTTCCTGGCAAGATTGATGCTTTTCAATTGCCTACACAAGGGAAGATTACTAGGGAGAGAACCATTAAACCTATTAGTACCTAAATCAAGAGATATCAGATTAGTCATAGCTAAACAATTAAGATCTAACGAACCTTCCAAAGAGTTATTCCTCAAGTTAAGCAACTTAAGAGTCGGTGAATTTGACAATGAAAGAGGTATCCTACCACTAAAGTTATTGGAATGAGCAACAAGATATTGAAACTTACTTAATTTAGCAAACAAATCTGGGATCATACCTGAAAACTCGTTAGATGATATATCTAAACGCTTAAGACTAGAAAGATTAGAAATGACAGAACTAAGCTGTCCATAAAATCTGTTGTCTTGGAGACCCAATAAACTCAAGTTTTGAAGGTGAAATATGTCCTCAGCTATAACACCACTCAAATTATTCATGCCAAGACATAGTTCCTCCAAAGAAACACAATTTCCTAATCCTGGTAATAGATGACCAGAGAAATAGTTAATTGATAAACGAAGAATACGAATTTCAGAAGAATTGTAGCAAATATGAGTAGGGACTGAAGTGTTTAAGGAGTTTGAAGAAATGTCAAGAAGTTGAAGTGAAGGTAGATTGATGGTAAGAGGAAGTGGACCATAAAAGTCATTAGAGTTCAAGTCTAAGACTTGTAAATTTGGCAAATGGAACAAAGAGGAAGGAAGGGAACCTTTGAGGAAATTGTGAGAGAGATTGAGGAATCTAAATTGTGAAGGAAAATTGATAGTTTGAGGAAAAGGACCATAAAAATCATTGGAGTTCAAGTCTAGTACTTGTAAATTTGGCAAATTGAACAAAGAGAGAGGAAGTGAAGATTTGAGGAAATTGTGAGAGAGATTGAGGACTCTAAGATGAAGAAGATTGCCTAATGAATCAGATAATCTGCCAGTCAATCTTCTTTTATCAAGAACCAACATGGTTACTCTACCAGAACCTGAAGTATCATTTAATCCAAGTGAAGATGAAGAATTGCAAGTGACGCCTACCCAGTTACAGCAATCAGTTGATGAATTGGTGTCCAAACCATCGATTCTTGAATCCAAACTGTTGAAGAAACCTCGCAATGCTGCCAAATCATTTTGATTGCATGTCAAGTTTTGATTCAGTGCCAGTGCTTGAGCTTGCAAGTAGAACCCAACAAAAATGATGATAAAAAACAAATCTTGAAACCCCATGATAGCCCAAGAGAGTTATGTGCATGTAATGTAAAATCAAGAATCAGTAGGAAGCATGATGAAGAAGAAAAGAAAAAAAAAAAGGGTTTGGCTCTTGGGAATGATAGAGATAGATGGATAATAAAGAAACAAAATGACGGGTTTGACTTCAAAAGGGTTTTGTTGTGTTAGAAGAGAAACAAAATGGTGGCTTCGGATTACCGGCTATAGCGGGTGATAAACGGGATAGCAATAAAGCAAGTCAAAGGTTGGGCTGCCACCTATTCTTATTTCTTAATGACTACGCACTCCTACAGACAACGCCGGGCCGCCTCTGTAATACGCACTTTTCCCATTTTTAACGTTTAATATTCGGGGACATAGCGGTGGAAAAAAACCTGCTTAGCCCGACCTGTGGCGGGTTAGACCAAATCACGGGTCAGGCCTAACCTGGCCCGCCAACAACCATACCTGGCTCTTTGTTTACAAGGGTTAGTCTAGTCCAACCCATCAACCCTAATCCGGTGGGTTTTTGTATGGACTGGGCCGAGTCGGTCCAAATTTTTTTGTGTAATTTTTTTTAGTTAACTTTTCAAATATCGATTCAATTAAATTAATTTTTTTTAGTTAATATTTCAAATATTAATTCAATTTTAATACAATTAAATTGTAATATAAGAAAAATTAGATTTATTCATTTATTAAAAAATAAAATAAGAAATACGAAATTACAACAATTATTGCCTCGTTAAAAACCTTATCAAGAAAAACTCAATTAAAACAAAAACTTTATAAGGAAAAAAGAGTGCAATAATTGACAGTTAATTTACAAATTACAAAGTTACAATTTACAAAACAACGATCTCCCTCATCTGTATCATCTAAATTACAAAATTGAAATGATTCAACTAAGATATCGTCGACAACCTCGTATTGATCCTGATGGCGCGCCATTCTCAATCTCGGATACATGTGAGGATTTCAATCAATTTTGGTGAAAGTTTAGTCTTCCTTTTATTTAAAATTCTTCCACTTGCACTAAATGTTTGTTCAGATGAGATGGTTAAGACAGGAACAGAGAAAACATCTAGGTCAAGTCTTGATAGTACAGGAAAAATACATTTTCTGGTTTTCTAATATTCTAAGATGCCAAAGTTGACTATTTGTTGCGGATTTTCTAGTAGCAAGTCAGGGGTTTCCAAATATTGGTTAAGCTCATTACTCTACAGCTGCATGGAGGACATTATATTCGTTGTTGATGCGTCTGAAGAGGAGATTGTGTTTCGGGTTCGGGTTCGGGTCTTTTTTGGCCTATTAAGTGCACTCTAGGAGGCGAAATCTTCATTTGTGTCTTTTGATGCTACTTCCTCGGGTATTGCACCTCTTTGCTGGTTCACATATCTGCTTTCATATTGCAAATATACCTCTCTAAGACACTGTCTTATCTCTCCTAGTTGATTGATATACGCTTCATCTTGTAAATTTTCACTTAACGAGTTTAAACGATTTTCTAAACTCGTTAATTTAATCTTACGATCAAATATGATAGCTAAACAAAAAAAGAAAAGGAATGGGTTTCCAGTATTTTTTAAATTTTAATTCCATTGCATATATTGGTCCCGCTAAAATTTTATTGTTTCTGTTTCAAGCAAATAAATCTGAAATTTTTATAATTGTGTGTATTAGCAATGGTTTAGTAGGATAATACACATCAGAAAGTTTTAAAGTGAAAAGATAAAAGATTTTAAGAAAATAATAAAACTTTTGAGCTATATGTTAATCACTCTCTACCAAATAATGAGGACCCCTATAATTTGCTACAAAATAACTAATTAAATTTGCATAAGGTAAACATGAATTAAGGATTAAATAACTACTATTCCACCTAACAGGCATGTCTAATGAAAAAGTTATAGGAGACAAATTTGATTTTTTACAAGCATATTGAAATTCTGCATTTTTTCTATTACTACTAGTAATCTAAGCTAAAGAATCCCTAATTCTATCAATATTATTTCTAATTCTTTTCATACCACTTTTTACAATTAAATTAATAATGTGACATGTACAACGTTAGTGAAAAAACTTCGAATTGTCATAAAAAGGAAAATTTATTTAAAAAAAAAAAAAACTATAGCTCTATTGTTAGCACTTGCATTATCTAAAGCTAAACTTATCACTTTGTGAACAATATCATAATCTTCTAAAACTTCAACTTTCTTATAAATTTGTTGACCACTATGATCCACATCCATTAATCTAAATCCTAATAAAGATTTATTTAATTTACATTGGTTATCAAAATAATAACTAGTCATACAAATATAATCTTATTTAGCTCTACCACTCCAAATATCTGCAGTTAGAGCCACAATAACATCACAACTATGTATTTTATTTCTTAATTCTAATTTCATTTTCCCAAACAATTTTATTAAATCATTTCTAGTTGCAATTTTAGAATAAGTTTTAAATTATGGAAAAATGATTTTTTAATAAATCTTTCAAAAATATTTATCTTTAGCCATATTAATAGGTCGATCAGTTGCAACAATATACAAAGTTAATTATTCCTTACATACATCATAATTATAATGCCAAGTATTACTCATACTAGTTATTTGAGTTTGATTGGTTTCTTTATTTCCATAATGATTTATATATTTACTAGCATGCCTTTTTAAAGTACTAGTACCATTACCTACATCAGTTTTATAAATATTTTTACAATACTTACATCTTGCTTTCTTCACTTAAACTCCATTTTTTGTCTCGTAAAACTTTTTGAAATGTACCCAAACGTTTGATGTGTGCCTCTCGTCGGTTCTGACTATAGTTGATGAACTCACTTCTACTTTAGATGGAGTTGGACGAGGATGACGATTACGAGAACGACCTTTAGAACCCCCGGGAGCTGTAGTAGCATGGGGAGGAAAGAGAGAATATTATGAGGTGTATTAGATTCTGAGAATGGGAAAGCGGAACTATTTGAATCTATTGCATTTATGTTAGTAAATTCAAAGGGACAAAGATAATTTTCTTCATCATCGAAATTGATGGTGGGATGGAAATATCTATCCATTCTAGTTTAAAAAATATATATATTGGATATAAAAGAATTAAAGAAAGAGAATTGGAATTTGGAAATATGAATTAAAAATTGCAAAAACTAATAAAAATTAAAATGAGAGCAAATTGACAACAAAGAGATTGAGAGATTTTTAGATATCGATAGCATAGCTAAACAATTAAGATCTAACGAACCTTCCAAAGAGTTATTCCCAAGTTAAGCAACTTAAGAGTCGGTGAATTTGACAATGAAAGAGGTATCCTACCACTAAAGTTATTGGAATGAGCAACAAGATATTGAAACTTAATAATTTAGCAAACAAATCGGGATCATACCTGAAAACTCATTAGATGATATATCTAAACGCTTAAGACTAGAAAGATTAGAAATGACAGAACTAAGCTGTCCATAAAATCTGTTGTCTTGGAGACCCATAAAACTAAGTTTTGAAGGTGAAATATGTCCTCAGCTATAACGCCACTCAAATATTCATGCCAAGACATAGTTCTCCAAAGAAACACAATTTCCTAATCCTGGTAATAGATGACCAGAGAAATAGTTAATTGATAAACGAAGAATACGAATTTCAGAAGAATTGTAGCAAAATGAGTAGGGATGAAGTGTTTAAGGAGTTTGAAGAAATGTCAAGAAGTTGAAGTGAAGGTAGATTGATGGTAAGAGGAAGTGGACCATAAAAGTCTTAGAGTTAAGTCTAAGACTTGTAAATTTGGCAAATGGAACAAAGAGGAAGGAAGGGACCTTTGAGGAAATTGTGAGAGAGATTGAGGAATCTAAATTGTGAAGGAAAATGATAGTTTGAGGAAAAGGACCATAAAAATCATGGAGTTCAAGTCTAGTACTTGTAATTTGGCAAATTGAACAAAGAGAGAGGAAGTGAAGATTTGAGGAAATTGTGAGAGAGATGAGGACTCTAAGATGAAGAAGATTGCCTAATGAATCAGATAATCTGCCAGTCAATCTTCTTTATCAAGAACCAACATGGTTACTCTACCAGAACCTGAAGTATCATTTAATCCAAGTGAAGATGAAGAATGCAAGTGACCGCCTACCCAGTTACAGCAATCAGTTGATGAATTGGTGTCCAAACCATCGATCTTTGAATCCAAACTGTTGAAGAACTCGCAATGCGCCAAATCATTTTGATTGCATGTCAAGTTTTGATTCAGTGCCTGTGCTTGAGCTTGCAAGTAGGCCCACAAAAATGATGATAAAAAACAAATCTTTAAACCCCATGATGCCCAAGAGAGTTATGTGCATGAATGTAAAATCAAGAATCAGTAGGAAGCATGATGAAGAAGAAAAGAAAAAAAAAAAGGGTTTGGCTCTTGGGAATGATAGAGATAGATGGATAATAAAGAAACAAAATGACGGGTTTGACTTCAAAAGGTTGTTGTGTTGTGTTAGAAGAGAAACAAAATGGTGGCTTCGGATTACCGGCTATAGCGGGTGATAAAGGATAGCAATAAAGCAAGTCAAAGGTTGGGCTGCCATATTATTTCTTAATGACTACGCACTCTACAGACAACGCCGGGCCGCCTCGTAATAAGCACTTTTCCCATTTTTAACGTTAATATTCGGGGACATAGCGGTGGAAAAAAACCTGTTAGCCCGACTGTGGGGTTAGACCAAATCACGGGTCAGGCCTAACCGGCCCGCCAACACCATACCTGGCTCTTTGTTCAAGGGTTAGTTAGTCCAACCCATAACCCTAATCGGTGGGTTTTGTATGATGGGCCGGGGGTCCAAATTTTTTTGTGTAATTTTTTTTAGTTAACTTTTCAAATATCGATTCAATAAATTAATTTTTTTTAGTTAATATTTCAAATATTAATTCAATTTAATCAATTAAATTGTAATATAAGAAAAATTAGATTTTATTTATTTAAAAAATAAAATAATAAATACAAAATTGGCCAAACCACATTAACTAAAACAAAATCATTTCAATTTCTTATTGAGCTAAAATGACATGCACCAAAATATAGATTGAAAACTTTCAGACATAATTTCAGATATGCTTCTCATTCTTTATATAAACTAAGAACGACCATAATACACAAATATTCAAAA